AAGAAGGGGGGAGAGATAAGGAATGCAGAGGAGATATGTCAGACCTGTTAGTCCTGTTAATCAGAGACTAAAAAAAAACCAGCTCCCGGAACCGCGCGGCCGCAAATGCGGCCACGCAACATCTTATTATGACATTTTATTATCTCATTCCTACTTTGGACAAACTGGCAAGCTACCGAATGTAACCTGCCCACACAGCAGAGTCTGGCCAACTCCCCATGGCGTACCCAATATGCCAAATACCAGTAACAATGATGGGTCTCATTCTCCTAAAGAGCCTTGAATATAGCACTTTCTTAAAAATCTCAGGGCTAGGATGAAGGAGACGTTACTGGGGCCTGCTCGAGGCAATCGACGAATAACAGGATGGTCATGATTCGTGATTCGTTAGTCCTGGGAAGAATTTTCAATTCTTAAGGCCCAGGATGCGGCTCAAAGGTAAAGCTCTTACTCCACATGTTTGAGGCCTTAGGTTCATGAGACCCTGAGCACCACCAGAAGTGAGCATTTATGAACACATCTGCCTCATATGCTCAAATGGTTTACTTCCTTCAGACGTTAGCTCAGGTGCTATCTTGTTGAGGTCTCCTCTGCCCTGCCCCAACCCTTTCACTACTCTTTTTTTCTCATTTAAAAAAATTTTTTTTTACTTTTATATATTTTAAAATTTCTATTTATTTATTTATTTTTATTTTTATTAGTGAGACACCATGAGGTACAGTTGTAGACTTACGAATTTTTGTGCTTGGGTTTCAATTATACAGTGATCAAATACCCATCCCTCCACCAGTGCCCATTTCCCACCACTACGGATCCCAGTATCCCTCCCACCCCCCATCCCCCCCATCCCACCCTGTCTCTGTGGCAGGGCATTCCCTTTTGTTCTCTCTCTCCTATTGGGTGTTTGCAAAAGAGGCAATGAGTGGCAATCATGTTCAGTCCATAGTCTACTTTCAGCATTGAGCTCCCATTTGACCCAGCAATACCACTCCTGGGAATATATCCCAGAGAGGCAAAAAAGTATAGTCGAAGTGACATCTGCACTTGTTTGTTCATTGCAGCACTCTTTACAATAGCTAGAATCTGGAAAAAACCTGAATGCCCAAGAACAGATGACTGGTTAAAGAAACTTTGGTACATTTACACAATGGAGTACCATGTAGCTGTTAGAAAAGATGAAGTCATGAAATTTACATACAATTAGTACTACACGGAAAGTATCATGCTAAGTGAAATGAGTCAGAAAGAGAGGAATAGACATAGAAAGATTGCATTCATCTGGGGAACATAAAGTAACAAAATAGGAGACTAATACCCATGAATGGTCGAGATTAGTACCAGGAATTTTGCTCCATGGCCTGGAGGCCAGCCACACATGCTAGGGGAAAAGGGAGCTCAGATAGAGAAGGGAGCACCAAATAAAGGGTGTTGGGAGGATCCTCCCAGGATGGGAGATGCATGCTGAAAGTAGCCTATAGACCAAACATGATTGCCTTTCACTACTCTTGAGTACTGGTGCCCATGAGCATAGCCAGTGTGGCAAAAAACAAACAAACAAATAAAAAAAGCTAAATTAAGATCACTTACGGTTTTATTCTAAGAGAAACAGAAGGCATTGGACATCAATTTGTAAAGAGAAGGGATGTCATATGCCTAATTTTTTTTTTTTTTTTGCTTTTTGGGTCACACCTGGCGATGCAGAGGGATTACTCCTGGCTCTGCACTCAGGAATTATCCCTGGCAGTACTCAGGGGACCATATGGGATGCTGGGAATCAAACCCAGGTCGGCCGCATGCAAGGCAAAGGCCCTACGCACTGTGCTATCGTTCCAGCCCCCAATGTGCCTAATTTTTTAAAAAATTACTGCTCTATAGAAAATAGACCAAGGCGACGTTAGGGAGATCCACTGAGACTAGAGGACAATGACTAGGACCAGAATTCTGGGAGTGAAGGTGATGACAAGAGGGAAGATAGTGGGCGTGATTTAAAGGTAGAACCAACAGGGTTTACTAATGGATCAGAGATAAGAGATGAGAGAATAACTGTAGAAAACAGCTGAACTATTTCCAAACTCCGAGCAGAACTGCTATGGCCTTTATATTTCTACTTATCACATTGGAAAATGGAAATGGCAGAAGGCCCTTAAGCGTTGCCTGGAGAGCACTGGCTAGGGAGCCTGGAAGATTTGCTTATAAATTGCCATTTCCATTGCTTGAGGCTTGGGGACTTCAGATAAGCCACATTGATCTTCTAACCTCCAGGCTTACACTCTGTAAAATGGGAATAATGGTGATGAAGGTGAGGATAAGGATGATGATATCCTCCCAGGCAAGCTGTGGGGGGTGGGGGTGGAGGGGAGAAACCTCAAACTCCTAAGCAATCATCTCTCACTTCCTCCTACTCTCTCTAGAAACCACCACTCACAGTCTATGTGTTTGTTTAGTCTGGGTATTTCACACAAATGGGATCATAGAACATGTGACCTGTGGCAAGTGGCTTCTTACATAAGATTCTCGAGGCTCATCAAAGTCACAACATGAAGCAGTATTTAATTTCTTTTTTATACCTGAATGGTATATCATTGATATACGTGTACTTCATTTTGTTCATATTGTCATGGTTGTATGAATATTTAGGTTGTATCTATTATTTTCGTTAGTATGATTAACGCTGCTGTAAACATTCATATGAAAGATTTTTTGTCGGCATAGTGTTTCAGTTTCCTTTAGTAGATACTTAGGGTTGCAATTCTAGGGTCACTGGTTAATTAATTCATTAATTTTTGCTTTTTGGGTCACACCCGGTGATGCACAGGGATTACTCCTGAGCACAAACTGCAAACTCAGGGATTACTCCTGGCGGTGTGTGGGAGACCATCTGGGATGCTGGGGATTGAACTCGGGTCAGCCCCATGCAAGGCAGACGTGATACCTGCTGTATTATCACTCCAGCCCCACTGGTTAATTTTATGTCTAGAATATTGAGGAACTGCCAAACATTTTAAAAGCAGCTACTTTGCTTTTTACAGTCCCATCGAACTGTATGAAGCTTCTGATATTTCCTCCCTTTCACTAAAACGTGTAATTATAGATTTTTAAAAATTTTAATCATCTTAGTCGCTGCGAAGTGACATCTCACTATAATTTTGCTTTGTGTTTCCCAAATGACTAGTGATGTTGAACATGTTATCATTGGCCATTTACTTATCTTCTTTGGAGAAATGTCTATTCAAATCCTTGGTCCATTTAAAAGTGAGGTTATTGGGATTCTGTTTGAACTAGAGGAATTCTTCTTAAATTTTAGATACAAGGCTTTCACCAGGGCTGTGATTTTCAAATATTTCCATTCCGTGTCATATCCTTTAAATTTGTTTTTGGTGTTCTTTGAAATGCAAACATTGCAGTTTTGATGATCGTCAATATTTCTTTTCCCTTTATTGCTTTTGCTTGTGCTTTCGTGATGGCTTATATCTAAAGAAAATTTAAATTTATGATCAGTTTTGATCTTGCGAAGCGATAGCACAGTGGGTAGGCCATTTGCCTAGCCGGGTAGGGCGCAGCCAAGCCGGGTTCGATTCCTCCGCCCCTCTCAGAGAGCCCGGCAAGCTACCGAGAGTATCTCGCCCGCATGGCAAAGCCTGGCAAGCTACCCGTGACGTATTGAATATGCCAAACACAGTAACAACAAAGTTTCACAATGGAGATGTTACTGGGCCTGCTTGAGAAAATCAACGAACAATGGGAGGACAGTGACAGTGACAGTTATCAGTTTTGATCATATCATTTGTACATGTTGCTATGTGCATATCATATAAAATATAGATCTATATGTGAAACAATCCTGAGGCTAAAACTCAGGGCCTCAGATTTGTGAACCATGTTTACTACCACTGAGCTACATCTCCAAGCTTCACTTCATTCTTTCTTTCTTTGTTTTTGGATCATACCAACTGTTCTCAGAGCTTAGTCTTGGCCAGTGCTTAGGGATCACTCCTGTCAGTGCTTGGAGGACCATAAACTGTGGAAGTTGAACCCAGGTTGGCTGCATGCAAAGCAAGCCCCTACCTACTGTAGTATCTCTCCAGTTCAATTCTCTTCTCTTCCTCTCTTTTTTTGGTTCTGGGAGATTGAATCCCAAATGCCATATATGCAAGGCACAGTCTGTATCACTGCGTTACATAATGGTTCTACATTTTATCCCTTTTTTTTGGATGTTAGTATGATTATTTTCTTGATTTCATTTTTAGATTGCTCATGATTAATGTATAGAATCACAAATAGATTTTTGTACATTCGTCTGGTATACCATTCTATGAAAATGTTTTGATTTGGGCCAGAGTGATTGTACAGTGGGCAGGGCACTTGTCTTGCATGTGACCAACCAGGGTTTGAATCCCCAGCATCCCATATGATTCCATGTGCACTGCCAGCAGTAATTCCTGAGTGCATATCCAGGAGTAACAACACCTGAGCACCCCTGAATGTGGCCCTTCAAAGAAAAAAATTAATGAAAAGTTTTGGCTCTAGGGTTAGGATGTAGCTTCAGGTGGTAGAGCACTTGCCTTGAATGTACAAGGCCCTGAGTCATATCTTTGGTACTACATGGTACCCCGAGAACTGCTGGGTGTGTCCCCTGTAACTAAAAAAAAAGAAAGAAAAATGTATCTGAATGTGTATTTCTTTTAATTTTATTTATTGGTTTGGAGTCACACCCAGCAGTGCTCAGCTAAAGCTTAGAGGAGGGAAACTGGACCGAGGCCACATAGTAAGTAGCAGAAACATTTTAGCAAGATCAGTTTGATTGTTTGGAAGTTTAAAATCATCTTCCTGAGGGTCTTGGGCACTTTGGCAGTAGTGGAAGTACAATATAGTTGCCCATACATACCATAAACATTAACACGGTTGTAACCATGTTATGTAAACTACAGTAAACACTAAAAACAGAACAATAAAATAACCCCTCTGAAAGAGAAGTGCTCATCTCTTGATTTTTTTTCCAGTGGAAACTTTTCAGAAACTGCAGAAAGCAAAGGAAGTTCTGACGAACGAAGAGAGTCGAGCCCGCTATGACCACTGGCGAAGGAGCCAGATAGCCATGCCATTCCAACAGTGGGAAGCTTTAAGTGACTCAGTGAAAACGGTAGGTTTCTGTCTGGGGTAATATGAATCAATGATGCTAGGAAGCCTGTAGATCATGTGTTCACTTAGAGTCAGCAGAGAGACCAGTGCCATAGTGCAGTGGGACTGTAGGACATTTGCCTTGTAAATGGCTGACCTAGTTCAATCCCCAGCATCCCATATGGTCCCCTGAGCACCACCAGGAGTAATTCCTGAGTGCAAAGCCAAGAGCAACCCCTGAGCATCTCCAGGTGTGGCTCAAAAACAAACAAATAAAAAGAGTCAATACATAACAGTGAGGAGAAGACAAAGAAACTGGTGGAATATAAGTATAATTTGGTACCACTGGATCTGTCAAGAAAACCGTGACTACATTGGAATGTCTCTAACTGTTATATCTTACTTTTTAAAATGTATTTTTAAAATTTTCGAAATTTATTTAATTTTCAAAACTGAATCACAGTGAGATAAACGGTTACAAAGTTGTTCACAATTTAGTTCCAGTCAGACAATATTCCATCACCTGTCCCCTGACCAGTGTACATTTCCCAACATCAATGTCCCCAGTTTCCCTCCCCTGGCCCCCACTGCCTCTGTGGCAGGTACTTTTCTTCTCTGTCTGTCTGTCTGTCTGTCTGTCTGTCTGTCTGTCTCTCCTCATTTACTTATTAAGTAACAAAATGAAGCCGCTCTGTCTAACGTTCGTTGATTTAAAGAAGGCCTTTGATTCTGTTGAGATGGAAGCGGTCATTGAAGCCCTAGCCAATCAGGGCATTCAAGCCCAATACATCAGGATCCTCCGTGAGCTGTATTGCGGATTCACTACCAGGATCTCACCATTCTACAAAGAAGTGATCATGGGGTGTCCCATATGGCAGTGCTGCTAGGACCCTGCTTGGTACATGTAGGGTAGGGCTGATGATCCAACTCTTGGCCTCAAGCTTGCAAGGCTGGTAATTTGCCATGGAGCTACCTCTAAATCCCCACTGTGCATCTCAAGATACACATATACCACTGACTTTTGAACCCCTGCAAACTCATCTCCTCGATCTTTGTAGTTTATGTCAGCTTCTTCTCTTTCAGGGGATTATAAATCCCATAAAAATCTTCCAAGCCAAAAAGCAGCTTCTGAGGCAAGGATATAACTTAGCGGTAGAGTCTTGCCTGGCATGTATGATGAACTGGCCCCACAAACAAAACAAACAAAACAAAACAAAGCAGGGTCTGATTAATCAGAGGATGCTTATATCATTCCAATTATAAATTTTTGTAATTTTTTTTCTGTTTTTTTAGTTTTGTTTCTGGGTCACACCCTGGTGGTTTTCAGAGATTCCTTCTGGCACTGCACTTAGGGATTGGTCCTGGTGGTGCTTGGGGGGACCAAGTGGTGCTTGAGGGTGCTGGGAATTGAAGCAGGGTTGGCTGCATGTAAGGCAAGCACCTACCCGTTGTACTATCACTTTGCCTTGGAAAAAAGTTTTAGATAGATACAAAGACTAAAGACTAAATATTATGTTATCTTTCTTCATGCCATTAAAAAATCCTGAATCATTGTAGGGTCCAGAACAATAGTTTAGCAGGTAGGGAATTTGCCGCTGACCTGGGTTTGACCTCTGGCATCCCATATGGCCCCTGAGCACTACCATGAGTAATTCCTGAGCACAGAGCCAGGAGTAACCCCCCGAGCATTTCCAGGTGTGGCCCAAAAAACAAACAAAAACAAAAACAAAATTTATGTTAAGAAAACTTGAGCAAATTATTTTTTCACTAATAAAATACTTGTAATAGTGAGGGAGGGTCTTTTTTTTATTATTCTTATATTTATTTATTGAATCACTGTGGGAAAAGTTACAAAGCTTTCCAGATTAAGTCTCGGTCATAGATGATCAGACACCTTTCCCTTCACTAGTACTTATTTTTCACCACCAGTATGCCCCAAGGGAGGGTCTTTGAAGTAATGCAGGAGAACAATATAAAGCTTTCACAGTATATAGGTAAAGTGACTATGCATAACTGGAAGTCTCAGCCATAGAAATTTAGCAAGGTGGGGCTGGAGCAATAGCACAGCGGGTAGGGTGTTTGCCTTGCACACGACCGACCCGGGTTCGATTCCCAGCATCCCATATGGTCCCCTGAGCACCGCCAGGAGTAATTCCTGAGTACAAAGCCAGGAGTAACCCCTGAGTATCGCCGGGTGTGACCCAAAAAGAAAAAAAAAAAAGAAATTTAGCAAGGAAAAGACAGAAGAGAAGCTATCACTGTTTGTACATGACATAGAAGACTCTCAGGACTCCACTGAAAAACTTTTAAAAATAATTAACCAGTTCAAACATATGGTAGGTTTGAAAATCAGCACACAAAAATCAATATCGGAACAATGAACTACAACACATTTCAATATGTGAACAATGAACTAGAAGTCAAGTAATCAATCCCATTAAAAATATTGCTCAGGGGCTGGAGTGATAGCACAGTGGTTAAAGCATTTGCCTTGCACGCAGCCAACCCAGGTTCGATTCCCAGCATCCCATATGGTCCCCCGAGTACCGTCAGGAGTAATTCCTGAGTGCAGAGCCAGGAGTAACCCCTGTGCATCGCCGGGTGTGACCCAAAAAGGAAAAAAACAAAAACAAAAACAAAAATACTGCTCAGGGTCCAGGGATGTGGCCCAGTAGTATAGAGGTGACATAACAGTGCACATCAAAACCATACAAATCAACACTATTGTAAGCATGAGATAAATCTATAATAATTAGTTGAAAAATGATTTTTCTTAGGAGGGGGTTGAGGTTGGGGATAGGAGGGAATTTTGGAGCATTGGTGGAAAATGCAGGGTCATGGGCACTGATGGTAGATTTGGAACATTGTATGCCTGAAACTCTGCTGTTAACAGTTTTATAAATCATGGTGCTGATATGAAAAATGAAAAAATACCTGTGACTTCTCAAACTCAAAATTAAGATTTTTTCCCTTCTGTATTGTGTATGACCAAAATTCCTTGTTAACTCTGATTGAACATTCTTCTACTACTTCTGCATAAGCACATTTCCATTATCCTCAGTACACTACACTGTAACAGCAGCTGAATCAGTAGTCTTTGCCATTCAAGTGCTTCTTGATTTATAGTCATTTTTTCTAGATGATCCACTGAGCTCTGTTTCTTAATTTTAAATGCTAACATCAAGTTATCTGTGAGTTTTTCATATCTCTTTCCCAATTCCTGCCCTAATTTATATTGCCAAAATCTTTCCATTAAATACTAATTTCCTGTCTCCGAACAAATCACTTCTGCTATGACTTGAGTTTTACTATGAACCATTTGAGGTCTTACAATAATTACATTTTAGATCTTACTATCATTTATCTTGTCAGCAAAATTGAAATAGCATGCTGGACTAGTGTTTAGGTTTGAATTTGTTTTTATTTGTGGAACTAAGATAATGAGAGGTATATCTTTCTGGTTTAAATAAGCACTAATATTTTATTCTATTTGAACCAAGTTTCTGACTTGATTTTGCTTTTCTTTCTTCTTCTTTTTTTTCTTTTTGGGTCACACTCGGCGATGTACAGGGGTTACTCCTGACTCTGCAGTCAGGAGTTACTCCTGGCGGTGCTCAGGGGACCATATGGGATGCTGGGAACTCCTGGCGGTGCTCAGGGGACCATATGGGATGCTGGGAATCAAATCCGGGTCAGCTGCGTGCAAGGCAAACGCCCTACCCGCTGTGCTATCTCTCCAGCCCCAGCTTTTCTTTTCTCTTGGCGAATTCCTTTTACCAAAAATCACATTCAACGGATTTACTGTGAATTTCCTCTTATTTCTTTCTGTTCTGTTTTTGTTTTGGGTCTGAGCACATCTGGCTGTTATTAGGGCTTATTCCTGGATCTCTGTTCAGACATCAGTCCTGGTGAAGCTTGGGGACCATTTGGAGTTGTGGGCTTGAACCTGGGTTGGCTGCAAGCAAGGCAAACATCTTACCTGCTGGATTATCTCTCAGACCCTTCTTTCTGTTCTTATTTTCATAGTTTCTTCTGCATATGAAACTCTCACTCCTGTAACATTTTAGTTGTTGCTTTTTGTATATGTGCATTTCATTTGCATATTCTTTCATAGTCACAACTCTAGAAAAATCATTTAACAATTATCATACCAGGGGCTGGAGAGAGAGTACTGTGGGTAGGATGCTTGCCTTGCATGCGGCTGACCCAAGTTCGATCCCCTGGGCACTGTGAGGAGTAGAGTATAGAGCCAAGAGTGATTCCTGAGCATTGCTGGGTGTGACCCCAAAACTATAAACAAACAATTATGATACCAGGATTGATTATCATGTAATAGATCATCATCTACTTTTTCTATAAGTAAGTTTCACATTAGGGTATTGGGATTAAATAGATAACATATGCCATTCTCACAACAAAATGACTATAAATTAAAATTGAATTGATCTAAGATAAATTTTCATGTTCACCTGCTAAACATGTTTGTCTAAAAACATGTAAATCTCATAAAATCCCTACCCTTTACATCATCAGTACCATGTTCTGCTTTTTATTTAAGCGGTATGATCCATGTTGGGGAAAGACAACAAAAAAAAGTTGACTGGGAACAAAACTAATCTATAAATCTTCAAGGCAAAACAAATCACAAAGCATTTTTGTTGTTGTTATTGTTTTTGTGTCATTCCTGGTGGTGCTCAGGGCTTACCCCTGATTCTGTCTCAGGGATTGCTCTTAGTATTACTATGTCACTTGCAAGGCAAGAGCATCTTAACCCCTATCTCTGCAGCCCCTTTATATTTCTTCAGTTCTGGGGGAAAAAAAGGAGTGTTTCCATCCCCCCCCCCCCCCAACACACACACATCTTGTAGTTCTTAGGAGTACTAAGTAATAAGAGTTTAGGGACATTCATTATCATGCTGCACATTGACCCTAAGTGATCCAGAGTCTTACTTGCTCTCCTGGTTCCAAACATATATGGCAGATTGCCTTTAGGGTGGTTGTGGAGAACGATTAAAACAAAGC